CATTATTTTTTCAAAACTTTTTTTCTTCTTTTTCTTGTGTCCTGGTATACCCATTATGAGTATGTTGTTGTACTTAAAAGTATTACATATCTCTGTGGATTTCTGTTCATTTTTCTTCATTCTTTTTTTTTCCTCTTTGTTCCTTGGCTTGCATAATCTCTATTGATATATCTTCAAGTTTTGTAGTTCTTTCTGTTACGTCCTGCATTATTTTGCTTAGGGCTGTCATAATAAGATACCACACTGGATGACTTAACAGAAATTTATTGTCTTACAGCTCTGTAGCCTATGAATCCAAAGTCAAGGTATTGGTATGATTCATTTATTCTGAGGACTCTGAAGGAGGGATCAGTTCCAGGCCTCTGTTACTGGCTTGTAGATGGCCACCTTCATGTTCAGAGAGTATTCTCCCTGCATGTGTACCTGTCTCCACACTACCCCCCACGTTGTTATAAAAACACTAATTATATTGGATTTAGGCCCACCTTAATGTCTCATTGTTACTTGATTACCTTTGTAAAGACCCTGTCTACAAATAAGGTCACATTTTGAGATACTGGTGGATAGACTTCAACATATGAATTCTAGGGGTACACATCTCAACCTATTGCAAGCTCCTCTAATGAATTGAAAATGCAGTTATTGTACATTTCAATTCCATAATTTCCATTTTGTTCTTTTTCATAATTTCTATCTATTTATTGATATTCTCTGTTTGATACAACATTGTCATCATGCCCTCTTTTACTTCTTTAATCATACTTCCTTTAGTTTTGGAATATATTTATAATGGCCACTTTGTAATCTTTTTCTGTTAAATATGACTTCTGGTTACTTTCAAAGGCAGTTTCCATTACCTGGGTTTTTTTTTTTTTTTTTTTTCTTTTTCTCCTTGGGTATGAGACATGTTTTCTTATTTCTTTTCATGTCTCTTAATTTTTTACTGGAAACTAGACATTTTAGATAATATATTATAGCAACTCTGTGTGCCAGTCCCCTCCATTTTCAGGGGCCTATTGCTGTTATTTGTTTGTTTGTTTTATTTTATTTTTTTTAGCAACTGGCTGGATTATTTTAGTGAAATCTATTTTCCCCCTTAGTTGCTGTTTGGTGAGGGACAGCTTGACTTTTTCTTGCACATCTAGTATTTCTTTGTTTGAAATCTGGACAGTCTAGTATATATTATAGCAAGTCTCAATACTCTTTTACTTTTCTAAGGTTTTTTAAAAATTATTTTTCTGGTCTGCTGAATCTTGTCTCCCTGTGAGGTACAATCATTGATCTCTGTGCTTAGCTTATTTTTTTTTTCTTATTTTTATTTTTTAGCTTTGATTCTTTTTTTTTCATATTTATTTTTTGGGAGAGCACAAGTGAGGGAGGGGCAGAGAGAGGGGGACAGAGGATGTGAAGCAGGGTGTATGCTGACAGGCTGACAGCAGTGAGCCCAATGTGAGGCTCAAACTCACGAACCAAGAGATCATGTCAGATGCTCAACTGACTGAACCACCCAGGTGCCCCTTAGCTTTGATTCTTAAGGGTCATTTTAGGGTGTCTGTAGGTGAGCCACTAATTTGGTAGAAGTTATGTTAATACACTTTGGGCCTATAAGAGTTCTGCTGTCTCCTGATGAATCTGTGGGTTAGTCAAAGTTGCAGCCATTTCTCAATAGTTCTTGTCTTTTCTTTTTACCAAACTGTCTGATGTTCTCCACATATGCCTAATACGTTAATCTGCCAGAGATCTCTGGAGACCTTGTATGAATTATTTTATGGCTTTTTTCACTTCCAAGATCTCTCTGTTAAATTTCTAGTTTGTCTACTGTTTGTTTCTACTCAGACTCCAAGCTTGGTTTTATAAAACTGCAGGTTTTCCTTGTTCATCTCCTCCAAGTCCAACCCTTTCAGCCATCAGAACTGTAGGTTTTTGCCTCCAGTCGAATTGATTTTCCCCTTTAAGCACAAAAGTACAGGTTTACCAGTCTCAGGCTGGAAAACTGCAGTTCTCCTTGACAGAACTGGGGGGGGGGGGGGCGCAGAGGTGATGGAGGTAGCCTCAGGCAAGAAGACCACAGATTCGAACCATTCTTACCTGAAGCTCTAGCAGTTTTTCAGTAATTGATTCTCAGTAGATAATTTCCACTGCCCTGAAAAGGTTGATTTTTTAAAAATACAGTTAACTCTTGAGCACTGTGGGAGGTAGGGGCACCAACCCCCTGTGCAGCAAAAAAATCCATGTATAACTTTTGACTTCGCAGAAGCTTAACTACTAATTAGTCTACTGTTGACTGGAAGCCTTACTGATAGCACAGTCAGTCAACACATATCTTGTATGTTATATGTATTATGTACTATATTCTTATAATAAAGTAAGCTAGAGAAAAGAAAATGTTATTAAGAAAATCATAAAGAAGACAAAATACATTGATAGTACTGTACTGTATCAAAAAAACCCACAGAGGTGCCTGGGTGGCTTAGTCGGTTTAGTGTCCGACTCTTGGTTTCAGCTCAGGTCATGATCTCGTGGTTTTGTGGGTTTGAGCCCTCCATTGGGCTCTGTGCTGGCAGTGTGGAGTCCGCTTGAGATTCTCTGTCTCCCTCTCACTCTACCCCTCCCCTACTTGCTTTGTCTCTCTCAAAAACTTAAAAAAAAATTTTTTTAATCCCACATAAAAGTGAATCCATAGAGGTCAAACCCATGTTGTTCAAGGGACAACTGTAATTGTATCCATTTGTATACATATTTTTTGTGTGTAGTGGAATCATTAACCTCTTCACACCACCATTACTTTGATAGTATTTTGAATACCAAATTGATAGATTTTATAAAATGAGTCAGCCCCGTTACTTGTCAGATTCCATCTAAGTACTTTCTATACAACAGTACTTGATTATTACTCTAACACAATTGGTTGCCACCATTACTAGCTGTCACTCTTGCTGTGCATTTTGTCATTAATCCTTAATATATTTTGAGACATGATAATGTTGGTTAATACAGAAGTCATTTTTTTAGACAGAATCTGATAAAATTAATATAGAAATATTGATAGAAACAGAACAGTTGCTTAGTTATACAAATTTTTCTCAAGTTTTTGGACAGTTTTGTTGTCGGCAAATATCTCTTTGGAAATCCTTAAGACAGCTATACTTGTTTTATTGAATAGCTAACTTATAATTGGATTTCACAAATACTGTTTTCTTAAAAATGCATTATACAAAATTTACTTTTATATCTTAAGTAAGACCTGAAACCTATACGGTAAATAAGGAATATTTCAGTAAGTTTGTTTAAATAAAAATTTATGGGCATCTCAGTGGCTCAGTCGGTTTAGCATCATATCCTCTGTCCCCATCTCTCTCTGCCCCTCTCCTGTGCATGCAATATTTCTCTCTCTCAAAAATAAATAAACATTTAAAAAAATTTAAATTCCCACATGGGAAAGTTCAGTTGCAAACAAAGGAAAAAGACAAACAAGAAACTGGGAGAAAGTATTTAGAACACTGTGACTAGACAGAGGGCTAATTTCTTTGATATGTAGATCCTACAAATTGATTAAAAAAAAACAATTATCAGAAAAATAGGCCAATGAAAATGAACAGGCAGTTTACAGAAGAAGTATAATGGATAGTGAACATACAAGGATGCTTAAGCTTATAAAGAAATGCAGAATAAAACAACTCTAGAATTACAGTTTTTATCTGCAAGAGTGGCAAAATATTGATGATGATGTAGGGAGAAATGAGCTCTCCTTATTGTTAGTGCTTTGGAAACATGTTAGAATTTAAAATACACATGCCATTTTATCCAGCATTCTAGTATGCAAAAGATATGTGAACTAAAGAATATTCATTGCTGCATTATTTATAGAAGTAAACAATTAGAAGCAACTGAAATTTCCATTAATGGAGATCTGATGAGCTGCCATCAAATGGAAAACCATCCAGTTTTAGAAAAAAATGACATGACTCTATATGTAGTGACATAGAGTTGTTCCTTTACATAGTATGTCTGATTATGTTTGTGTGTGAATTGAAAATATCAGGAAGGTATTGACAATTCTCCATAATGTGACCATCTTTGAAGAGTAGAGTGGTGGAAGGAGAATTAGGGACCATCATGTTTCTGAACTGCTTGCTGTTTTTAATAACAAACATGTATTAATTATGTTTAAAAGAAAATACACATAATATCTACCAAATGGAGAAATTAAGAATTATATGCTTACAAATTAAAGATATATAGCAAAAATTTTCTGCTTTGCTTCCTATTTATGTATTGAATATGAAACCTAATTAGTTTACAGAAGGTAAAGGGACATGCTTTTCTGTTAGAGAATGTGCATAAATGAATGATTTCGTTCTTTTTTTTTTTTAAAGGAGAGAGAGAGCACTAGTGGGGGAGGGACAGAAGGGGAGAGAGAGAGAGAGAGAGAGAGAGAGAGAGAGAGAGAGAGAGAGAG